AAAGTCGAACTCAGGACCAGTGAGAGAAATGGCGGTTGTCAGAGGCACAGTTTGAAGGAGAAGCATTTGACCAACTCAGTAGATGGAGGAAAACATTTAATCAAATTCTACATTCATGCATGGCTTTATTATCTTTTATAGGACAGTACACCTTTATCTGAGTATCAAAACAAACTCACAACAAAATCCTTTCTCTCTGTGTAGCTGCAGTAATGCCAACGGGGAGCCGTGAGGCGGGAGGATGAGAAGCGGTGTGGTTTGCCGTTTTGCAGTGAGAGTGCCCCCGTGTGGTGTGTGTGTGATGGTTTGGATGAGAACTGGGAGGATGATGACGGCAGGACACAGCAGCGGCTCAACGGACTTTCCTGGCTGCCACTGAGGCAAACTATTCTTACCCACAATGCAGCAGTTTTTACTAAATAAATGCTCCTCCATCTATTGCATGCCTTTGGTTTATTCCAGAGTCCTGGAATAATTGTTGTTTTCAATACGTATCTTGTCCAGTTTTATAGTTGTTTTTGGGGGAGAGGATTTGCCAGCCTTTTTACCCATGGTTGCTGGAACTCAATCATTTAATTTTTACTTGAATTGATTTTTTTCTGAGCTCATGTTTTCATGTTTATGGAGTCTGTATTATCTGCCCAGGGTTGCCATGACAAGGTGTTCCAAGCCAGGTGACTTAAAACAACAGAAATGCCTGTTCTCACAGTTCCGAAGGGGGAGACTGAAATGCGGCGCCGGCAGTGCCGGGCTCCCCGAAGGCCGCGGGCGTCTGCGCGGTGCCGCCGGTCTGTGGATGCATCCCTCCATCTGCCTCTGTGGTCCCGAGACTCTCCCTCGTGTCTGCACTTCGTCTTCCCTGCGTGTGTCCTTTAGTGGCTTTAAATAACAGGGACCTAAGTACTTTTATTTTAAAAACAATAGGAAACTCTCCCTTGCTGCTGTGTGGAGTGCTTTCTCTCTGAAAGACCGATATAAGGATACACATCATCCCCACTTCCCCTCAGTCCCCTCCTGGAGGTGCGGAGGGGAGGGTCAAGGAGGTGGAGGGAGAGGAGAAAGGGAGAAAGAAGTAGCAAAAAGAAGGAAACGCCACCGGACCGAAGAAGCCGAGACCTGCCTCACACAGTGCAACCTGAATTCTGTGGCCGGGACAGCTCACCCTGGCGCCCCGGGGCCTCCGCTCTGCAGCGAGTTTAAGAGCGCGCTCTGTCTGCTTCCTGTAAATGTTTAAGGACGTGTTGTGGTGGTCAGACAAAAGCTTTATTTTTTGTTTGAAGAAAATGCCATTCATTTCAAAACAAGGTTTTTTAAAGCAAAGTTTTACTTGGAGTTGGTACCAACTTAAGGCATCCACTCTTCTATTTTCTGTCCAATATTGCCTACTCTTTAAGGGAAATAAATACATACTTCCTGCCGTGTAGCAAGATGCTCAGAGCTGAATGGCAGTTCTGATTTCTTGATGTAACTCAGTGTTGGTTTACATAAAAGGGGTTCCATTTTAACATTACCACTTTTTATTAAAAATTTGGACAGAATAAGATACTTATCTTATCCTAAGAAGCCCTTCCTATAGCATTTATTGTATTGGGGCAAATTATAATTCAAGGAATATGTGTGTTCAAAGTTGCCCTGTTTTGAAGCTGATGCATCAGAGAAAAGGAGAGGAGACCAGTGTGTGGGTGCTGCCGGCGTGTGCAGGGCACATTTTTGGCAGCAGGTGCCAGGTGACCAGGACCAGCGGGCACAGAGGTGCCTCTTCTGTTTCTTCCAGACCCAGCTCCCTGCAAAGACCAGTTGTCCTTGAAGGAAAAGCCCAGCGCCCCGGCCGGTGTGCAGCCTCCGAAGCCACCAGGCTCCAGGGACACCACCGGGGGCACACCAGCCCCTGCAGTGCCATCCTCCCCTCCTGTGACTGCTGTGCCCCAGGACATGGCTGCACCAACCGCCAGCCCCAGGCCAGAGCCAGCGAGGGGGACTGCCATGCAGGCAGGGGCTCCAGTGACCTCTCAGGGGATGGCCAACGAGTGTGATGCCCCCCAGCCACCGGCAGAGACTCGTGATGCCCAGCTGGCTGCTAGGCCCCTGGATGTGGCCCCAGGGCCCTGCGCCTCCCCTCCAGAGGCCCCGCTTCACCCCGCAGGCCTCG